ACATCCTGAAACGTGAAAAGATAAACTTTCAAGAAGCACAACAAACTCCAGGAAGGATACTCCCAAAAGAAAATCACCAAGACATATCACTGTCAAGCACTCCAAAATTAAAGTTAAGGAGATACTTCTGAAAGCAGCCAGGGAAAATGGAAGTGTCATATACAAAGGCAAGCCAGTCAGATTAAGCTCAGATATCTCAGCAGAAACCATGCAAGCAAGAATGCAATGGGGAGACAAATATAAAACACTGAAAGAAAAAAATTGCCAACCAAAAATCCTTTATCCAGGAAAGATATCAATCAAATATGACGGTGTAATCAAAACATTCCAGGGTAAACAGATGCTAAGGGATTTTGCCAAAGCCAATTCTGCACTACAAAAAAATCCTAAAGGGATTTCTGTGGACTGAGAACTAACAAGAACAGACAACAACCAGAGATTGACATACATGGCAGCACCACCCAGAAATAAATCGACAGAAGGAAGAGTTGAGAACAGAAGAAAACTATAAGAACAAACTCACAGAATCTGGGAGGTCAGTCAGTGATCAAAACAAGTACAATATAAAAGAAGGTAAACACGTAGGAAGAGAGATGCAGATGGTGAGAAGGTCAGGTCGATTACAGAATAAAATACACTGCACTAAATGGAGAAAATTTAATGGACTATAAGGCAACCTCAAAGAAAACTAACACTTCACAACATACCAAGAAAATGAAAATCCAAGAACATGAAAACATTAAAACTATGAGGAAACTCACAAGAAAGAACACAAAAAGCATGAACTCAAAAAAGGAAGACAAACAGAACTAAGAAAGCAGCAACACCACAAAAAAAACAACAACAAAAACATAATGGCAGCAATTAATCAATACCTATTGATAACTACACTGAATGTAAATGGATTAAATGCACCTGTTAAGAGATGGAGGGTGGCAGAAAGGATAAGAAAACAAAATCCATCAATATGCTGTCTGCAAGAGACACCTCTCACACACAGACACAAAAACAGATTTAAAGTCAAAAGATGGAAAAAATTATACCAAGCTAATTGCAATAAAAACAAACAAACAGGAGTGGCAGTACTAATAGTTGATAAAATAAACTTTAAGGCAAAAAACAGCATAATAGATAAAGATGGATATTATCTCATGATTAAAGGGACAATTGAACAAGATGCAATAAACATAATAAATATCTATGCTCCCAAAGAAAGAGCTCCAAAATATATAAAGCAAACTCCAATAGATTTGAAGAAAGAAATAGATGAATCTACAATAATAGTGGGTGATTTTAATACACCACTCTCAAAAATGGATAGAACAACCAAAAAGAAACTTGACAAAGACACAGAAGAACTAACAACACAATCGGCCAACTGGACCTCATAGATGTGTATAGAGCATTCAACCCAACAACTGCACAATACACATTCTTTTCCAGTGCACATGGGACATTCTCCAGAACAGACCATGTTTTAGACCACAAAACAAAGCTCCAAAAATTTACAAATATAAAAATACTACAAAGTGTCATCTCAGACCACAATGCTATCAAATTAGAAATCAACAATAGGAAGACCACGGATATCAAGTCAAACACATAGAAACTGAATAACACCCTGCTGAAATGCAACTGGGTAGTAGAAGAAATTAAATGTGAATTCACAAAGTTTCTAGAAATAAATGAGAATGAAAACACAACATACCAAAATCTTTGGGACACAGCGAAAGCGGAGCTGAGAGGACAATTTATTGCAATAAAAGCACACATCCAAAAA